ATCTTTCCATGCGGTGTCCACTGAAATGGTGCTCACCTCGCTGGTCCTCAGTCACTAATGGTCCTTCAAGACTGGCAGCTAAGTGTTTCCTGATTTTACTTAAGGGCACAGAAATATCTCTACTACTCCTTGTGGTCCCTCTATAAGACCACCTACCGTCTGTCTGTTCATCTGTCCAGATGCCCAAGACCAGCATTCCCTCCCAGCATCACGAATCCCTGAGAGGGCTCGGCCCAGGTGACAGTGCTCAGGTGCTCTCATTCTATGTCTATTTTCTTACTTCCCTTCTCTCCTTCCCCCCACCCTCCAAGCCTAGGGAATCAGCTCTTCATCTGGGGTTTCTCCCCAGAGTTTCTCCCTCCATTTTTCCCCAAAAGTTGATCCATACTCAGATCTTCCTCACCCTCCTTAGGGTTTAGGCTTCTAGAAATGAGACTCAGCTTCCAGCCCCATCTGTTCTTCTCCCTGTCACAGCCCTCCCTGTGGCAATGAGCACAAGACAGAGATGTGTTTAAATGGTGGTAGGAGGGGAGAAATTAAAAGAATAGAGGCTAAGATTGCAAAAGTACTATCTTACCACTTAAGAGTTAAATAAAATATTGTATAAGAGAACTTACAAGGTTTTAAGGACCTCATGAAAGATAGCTATTATTTTTCCCCTATGATCTGTTGGACACATTATCTATATCATTTGTTTGCAACTTAATCATGCTCTACCTTAGAACATCTATTGTTTTGGCAATTTACTCTTATATTTTCCCGGTGTCTACACTTTATTCTCCCAACGAAATGTAAGCTCCTGGCAAACATGGTCCACATCTTATAATTAATTGAATCTAACAGAAGGCTAGACATCCAGCAAACACTTTACAAATGTGTGCAGATCTAGCCTCAGGAATCCAAAATCACGTTCTCAAAGATTTAGAGATGGTTCTTTGTATAGAAATCAGGAGGTTTTCTTCCTTAAAATAATTCATGAGCATGTTTATATCTAAATGTTAACAGAGGAGCCATGTGGTATATGCAGATACCCTACATATCAAAAAGAAAGAGATTTTCTATGTATTCATTATATTTTAAAATCCTGAATCACAACCACCCCTGAGTGCAAATATATTTTAAATTTTATACTGGTCTCCTATTGCAAAATGCTAATTGAATTGATTTCCTAGAGCTGCATCACTAAGAAATAGAATACAACACAGATTTGGAATTCTTGAGTCAAAAATATAGAACATGAACATTCTGCTGAGAGAAAATAGTATGTAGGAAAATGTTTTAGCATCCAAAAGGTTGCAAAGTTTAGTCTTTAAGAATGCAGCTGCTGAGTGAGCAGTTGAGGGAAGCTAGATGCTATACCAGAGTGGGCTGTGTCTGAGCCTCATTGGACTGGGCTGGCCAGTACCACCAGGATACCCCATCTAGCCATATACATGGATAGATATACTCACACTGTAGATCACACACTGCACGCTTCCTACTTTTGTGGCCTTGGGCCACTTACTTCCCCTCTCTAAGCCTGAATTTGCTCATCTATAACTGTAGAGTAAGTATCCACCTCCCAAGAGTTTGATGAAGATTCAATAAGATGATGTATGTTGAGGACTTCACACAGTGTTAGAAACATAGTTCATACTCAATAAATGATATTTGGAAGAGATGACCATCCGAATGCCCTGGAAAGTGGCAGCTCTACCATTCATACCCAGGCTCACACCCTTCTTCCTGCAGGTCAAAAGAAATGTCCCTTTGCTATGGCAGGAACATGCTGATGACTTTGAGAAGCATGCTACGCATGGGAGCCTTGAGGACCTAGAACTGAAGGCTCCAAATTGACTCCCCCATACCCTCAACCAATGGCCTTCTCAGGTCATTCCTCAGAGCCAGATCTGTTTAGAGTTCCCTGTGGCCTGAGCTCTGCAATAGAGCATTCTTCTTTCATTTCCAAAGTGAAGATGCTTTGGCTGGCAAGTAACAACCATGTGAGTCAAAATGGCTTAAACCACAAAGATAGATGATTGGCTCCCACAGCCAAGGTCATCCCATGGTAGAACGGTAGAAAGGGTCCCCTCAGAGTTCTACTCAGCCTGCTGTGACTGCCCTGGCTTCACACTCCTTCATGCATTGCACATTGTCCCTGGTCTGATTGCAAGAGGCTGCAGCAGCTCTTGGCCTTCCATCTTCACATAATGGTCTCCAGGGAAAGATTTAGTAGGTTCTAGAAACTTTCTGAAAAGAAAATGGAAGCTCTTTTCCCAGGAGCTGCCAGTCAGTCTCTCCTCCCATCTCATTGGCCTAAATTTGGTCTCATGATTATTCCTGAATCAATACCTTTGGCTAACTGGATGCCAGGTACTGATTGGCTTCACCTTGGTACTTGACCCCAAGTCCACACCTAATTTAGTCACTAGAGCAATGGGGATAGAAAAATCTGACTAACTTTGACTAAATAGAATCCACCCCTGGAGCCTGAGTCAACCCCCCAACTCCAGAGCTGCTGTCGCAAGAGAGCAGGAGTGAGATAGATGTTGGAGAGACACCAGTGTCCACCGCTCTGCTGGTTTTTAGCTCACCATCTCCTGTAATTCAGCAAACAATTATGAAATGTGTCCTGTGTGCCAGGTATGGTGCAGGGTGCCAGGACAATACAAGGGTCCTTGTGTTGTTGAGCGGAATAAATGAGCCACTTATGCAAAGTGCCTGTTGCACCCCTCAGCCCCTAATACCTGCTCAATATTGTCTTCATTACCTGTTTAGTATTATCTTCATTGAAATGAATAATGCATGAGTGCTCCCTGCCATTCAAGAGACAGACTTAAACAAATAAATTCTTGCAGTGTGTGAAGAGTGGCAAGAATAAGCCTGCAGGTAGCATAAAGAAAAGAGGTCACATAAGGACTATGCAGAAGGCCCAACCACAAGAAGCTTAAAGCCCGGTCGTTCTTAACCTTGACTTTATGTTTTACTCACCTACAGAGGTTTTAAAACTCCCCATACCAATTAGTCACAATCTCTGGGGTTAGGACCCAGACCCAGGATCTTTTTGTCTTTGTAAAGATCCCCAGATGATTAAAGTTGTCAGTCAAGGTTGAGAACCATCATTATAGGCGATTGAAGACATAAAACACACACATAAACCATTAATTAACAATGTTGGGTTGTGAGGGGTACATTAAAATGAACTGTCAGTGTTCCAAGGTTCAAGGCAGGGAGACGGCACAGTGGGCAGAGGGCTGAAGGCAGAAAGAGGGCACGGTGGGCAGGGGGCTCAGGGCAGGGAGCGGGCATGGAAGGCAGGGGGCCCATGAAAGATTGCTGTGAGCGGCAGGGGACAGGAGGCTTAAGGGGCCTTGAAGGACCAGTGGGATTTGCCTCATTGAGCAATTCAGAGGTGGTATCTCAGTGTGAGGAGGATTGAGTGTGACCAAAGGTCTGTGTGCAAACATAGAGGATTTATCAATCTGGACCCACTCAGGAAAGAGAAACCACACAGTAATTTGAACAGGAAAATAGAATTATAAACCATAACATGGGATAGGAATAATGAAGGATTAGGTACTAAGAAGTAGAGAGAACTCTAAAGAATATAGGAATGCAGGTTTCAGGAGTATCTACTCCCCCAGGGGTGAGCTAGCGTGCCCAAGGGAGATCCCTCCCCTCTACTGCCCAGCTGGCACCCAGACTTTGCTGACATAGCATGGCTCACTGAAGGGCAGAAAAGTCACTGTGGTGTCACTCAAGCAGAACTTTTCAGAGATCTGCCCTCTAGGGTGCTGGGCTTGCTGTTCACAGGGAGGAATCTCACTGGAGTGCTCTCTGCTGGAGGAAGGTGCTGGCCATGCATTGCAGGAGCTGGGAAACTGCAGGACCTGCTCAGCTAGCACAGGAGAGCAAGGAGGCCAAACCGGAAGTGTTCCTCCAAGCAAGCAGAGGCTCAGAGAGGTTACGAAACCTTGCCGGGGATTTAGCAAATCTGAAGTTTGACCTCAATCCATCTTTCCTATGTTTTCTGCTTCCTCTTTGAACAAACAGAAGTGCAAGATCAGGGCTAAGTCTGTTAGTGTAGGCTGCCCAGAGACAGAAGGGTCTGTACTCAGCGAAGTCAATGAAGAAGGCCTCTGGTGAAGGTGAGGATTCGAATGGACCTTAGGGGAGGCCCGATTTGGAAAACCATGGAAATGATAGGAGGAGGTAACTTCCAGGCTGTCTTTGCATCACAAGCCACATTGGAAATTTCGCATGCTGAAGAGTGGACCCCAGCTCAGACAGGACTCAACTCAGCCAGTAGAGAACAGGAAGTAGGCCACGAGAAAGAAGTCAGAGGTAGAACAGAATCAGGGAAGTCCTTATAAGTCAAAGAAATCGAACTTGAGCAGATATGAAATCAATACATTTTGAGAGAGCCAGTACCCACGGATGTGGGGTTTCTGGGATTCTTTGACTGCCTGGCAGCCTCTCAGTGGAATACAGAGGAGCAAATGCCCACTTTGGAGTCAGACAGGCCAGGACTAGAGTTACCAGCTCCAGCATTTATCTGCATGTCTTGGGACAAGTCCCTCGACCTTTCTGAATCCCAGGGTTCTTCATGTGTCAGCTGGAAACAGTGATGCCGTCTTTGAAGGCCTGCTCAGATAAGTCTACAGCAGGCAGCCTGGCACACAGTAGGCCTTCAATCCATGGTAGCTTCCTTCTCCCTCCTGTTTTTACACCATAATCCTTTCCTATCTTCTAAGATGGTCCATATCTCTGAAAATAACTGTTTTAAAATTCAAAAATTCCAAGATTCCTAAATCAGGTGCAGTTGTAGAATGTGAAGGAATTGGCGGCACATAACATCTTCTTGTTGAGATTCTGACCACTCGGCTCACCACTTGGAAGGAATGATCAGATCTAGGGGACCCAGTTGCAGTGTCCTTGGCTCCCTGGCCAGATGGTGTCTTGAAGTGGTATTTCATACTTCATCTCCACAGGGCAAATAACGGTGCTACTTTTTCTTTTAGGAGGAGAAGTCACCAAACCACGGTTTGCTCAATTCTTCCATGGCAGCCTGGCCAGTCTCACCATCCGCCCTGGAAAAATGGAGAGTCAGAAGGTGATTTCCTGCCTGCAGGCCTGCAAGGAAGGGCTGGATATTAATTCCCTGGAAAGCCTTGGCCAAGGAATAAAGGTAAGAAAGAAGCCTGCAAAACCCCCGATAAGACGTTGATCTATGAGGCAGAGGCTGCCCAGTGCCAGCGCACTCTGAGAAATGGAGTCTTTTTCTGTCTAGTTGCACAAAGATGGTGCCATGGCAGAGGTGCTGCCATGGGGGGCGGGGATTAGTGACCATGACACCATGATGGACTCCTGCTGCCATCCCCTGAAATTCCTAGATAAAGCCCTTGTAGGTAATCAGTTCACTACCCAAAAGCTGGCCCATGTTCAATGTCTACTGTTGAACATGTTTGCTATTTCACTTTTTTGTTGATTTGTTGGTTGCTTTGTTGTTTGTTTGCCTAAACGAACTAAAGCAGGATGCAAGAGTACACTCCAAAATGTTTTTAAAAATAAAGTTTGGACCATGTAAGATACAAATTAGAAAAGAAAGTCAATCCCATGTGGGGCGGAATTAGAAAGCAGATGTGAAGGTCGCTGGGTCCCCCATTGTTAAGGGGAGGCACAGATTAGGCTCTGAGCCACCTCTGGCCATCAGAGGAAATGTAAGCAGATTCATGATTTTTATCATCCATGCAAAAGAACATTTACTGGGGGTCTCCCGCATGTCACACGCTGTTTGAAAGCTTTATGGATATTAACTGATTTAAGCCCTGGAACAACCTTATGATAAAGTTACCATAAATATTCCCATTTTGCACATGAGGAGTTGAGGACGAAGAGAAAGGAAATGTGCCTAAGATCCCAGAGTTAGTAATGAGCAGAGCCAGAATTTGAACCTAGGCAAGCAGTCCTGCATCAGGGCTCCAAATCTTGGAGGAACAGCAGTTCAGAAGGCTCCTTGAAGAGACAAAGTCTGAGCAGAATGTTTTAGGATGGATAGGAGCCGACCAGGAGAAAGGCAGGGTGTGGACATGGAGAAGAGGTGAGGGAAGTCACTCTAGGCATAGCCAAAAGCCTGAGCGATGGCAGAGGACTGAGGAACCCCACAGGGTACACTGGACCTCCAAGAAGGCCAGTGTTACAAGTGCTCAAATTACAGGAGGAAAGGTAAAAAGTGTTGTCAGAGAGAGAGGCAGAGGTCACATCATGGGGCCTTTTTAACTATGTTTAACTATGTTTAGGTATTTACCTTTTTTTTTCTGTGGGCAGCAGGCAGCCATTGAAGGGCTCCAGGTAAAGCATGATCTGGACAGGTGTGGGGCTTAGGATGTTCACCCTGTTGACTGGGTCAGAAGGGGAGGATGGGAGAACACAGACAGGATAAGGCAAGAATGGCTTTTCAGAACATTGCTTAACATGCATTAAACACACACACACACACACACACACGCTATCAAAAACTAGTCACCTGTCATCGAAGGAAACTCACAAGACCACACACACACACACACACACACACACACGTGCTATCAAAAACTAGTCACCTGTCATCGAAAGAAACTCATAAGATTACCCCATAATAGAAAGACCATCTATTTATGGTCCAGGCAAGCTCCTCATGGCACATTTCACATACAGAGAATCCTCATGTGCAGAGCCTGGGATTTGATCCCTGACCTGATGTTTGTGTGTGCTCTTAATGTTTTGTCAAGCCAGTGATGCAGAAATCCATCCTCCAACCCTCACCTCTCTGTCTGATTCCGGATTTGCTCCCTGCTCCTGAGTGGGTCTTCTCTGCCCTGGGCCATCCCCAAGGGGGCACAGTTTCAGGATTCCAACCACTACAGAAGAAATAAACCAAAGATGCTGGACTTAAAAGCCACACATCTTAGAATTATAAATTGGGAATCATAGCAATTTCTACAGAGCAGTCATAGCCTATGAAAAGAGGAGGTTCTAAACAAAGTGGCACATGAAGCTGTGGGGCGGGGCTGACCTGACTCTTCAGGATGCCGCCTGCTCATAACCAGTCACTGCGAAGGATCCTTTTCCATCCTTAGTGTGCAGCTAACAAGAACTAGAGCACCGTGTGAGAAGTTAATAAGACACATGATTTACAACGCATCCACTGGGGACTATTTTAAGTTCATTATCCGTAATCCTCACAACAAATTAAATAGTATGACCCCATTTTAGAAATAAGGAGATTGGGGCTCAGGGACTTGTCCAAACCTGGATTAGAAGGCATTCTTAAAATTATTAAAGCTTCTTTCCTGCCCGCCTTCCCTCCATTTATCCCTCGTTTCATTTCTGAATGGTGACTATTATTTTCTTTACCGGTTCCTGGTCCCCTCCCCACTCCCTGGCCAGCCAAAAGAAATGAAGTCCTCCTGCGATTCAGGAAACTTCCTGTCTGCTCACAGGACCCAGTGTGGTTCCTCTTTTTACTTGTTTTCCCCTGGATCTACATATTTCTGAATATCTCTCCAGCATGTCTGGAGCCTAATGATTGAGATGGTTGCTATCTTGTATCCAGACAGGACACTGTAGAATAGCCACACTCCTTAAGATTGCCCTGTTCTAATTTCCATAGCATAATCCTTGCCAATTTGTCATCTCCACAGTGTGGA